CGCTGCCGGAGACTGTCGCCATGCAGGCCCGCACGAGCGGTGTCATGAACTTCACCTTCCTCTCGAGGCCTTCGCGATGCCCGCCGGGTGACGAGAGCACGTCGGCAACCTCGTCGGCGGTGGGCACGTTGACCGTCCCCGTCGAGTCGACAGTGGTGCAGGCGGCGGCGTACTCGTCAGCGATCGCGAGGAGCAATGGTGGCGGCAGCGTGCATGCCCACGAATCGACTTGCCTGCCCACCGCCACCACCATTGCTCCTCGCGATCGCTGACGAATACACCACCACCTACACCACCGTTGACTCAACGGGGACGGTCGACGTGCCCGCCGCCGACGTGGTCACCGACATGCCCTCGCCGTCGGACGGGTACTGCAGAAGCCTTGAGAAGAAGGTGAAGTTCATGACACTGCTCGTGCGGGTCTGCTTGGCGATAGTCTCCGGCAGCGGCATGTGCGGCCACATGACATGAGAGGGGATAGAGAGAAGAGGAGAGTAGTGAGATGACATGTGGGGCCACATAGATCCCACCGTTTTTATTATTCTGTGTGCGAAACTGACATGTGGGCCCATAGGTTTTATTATTTTTCCAAATCGAATTGTTATATACGCGCCACGTCAATGCCACGGGACAAAGACTTAGTCAAAGGAGCCACGTAGACGTCACGTCAGCCAAAACCAAGGGCAATATTGCCGAAGGACCTCGTTTGTATTGGTTTTGTAAGTTGGGGGATGTGTTGTATCTGGTTTTGCGGTCTAGGGACGAATTTCGAACTCGGTGACAAATTGAGAGACCTAAAGTGAACTTATTTTGTTTTCCTATGTTTACTCTTTAATTAGCTGGGCACACTTTGGTCACAGCACAAGCCGTAGAAAAAAAGGTTCACAGTTAAGGTTTCTCATCTTATATTCAAGTTTCAAAATCATCCCTAAATCAAAATACCAAATATAACGCGCTTCTAATTTTACAAAATCAGATAACCTCCGTTCTTGGTGACGTGAGGGTTGAGTCAGATGGGTCGCACGACCTCCGGTTCCTCGCGCGCGTGGTGGGACAACCTCAAGGGCTCGTACGTGGAGACGAACTACTCGTTCTATGTGCAGGACATCAAGGTGAGCACTGAGCACCCCGTACGTAGCTAGATTCTGCATGAGCCAGGCAGGAACCTCGCAATTGTAGGCGACGGAGGGAGGGAGGATCGCCAGAGAACTAACTGGTTGGCCTCTCGGCGTTCCAGGCGCGTGCTCGGATCTAGTCTTGCCGCGGCGCCGGCGTGCCTGCCAATTCTCACAGGGTAGTGCTGCTGTGTGTTACGGATCGGAGTATATGATTGCATCGGAGCTTCAGATTAGTTGCTACTACTATACTTAGGCTCTCTTTTGTTTAGGCTTAAAATTATTGTCTTAGAATTTTAAGTCAGCTTATTGGCTTATATGATTTACAAGCCGGTGGATTTAATGTCCTAAGTTTAATGATGGAGTAATGCATCTATCTCATATAAGCCAAAAAAAACTTATCCAACCTAACTTTTGACTTAATAGTGTTAGAGTGGCTTATGGCTTCAAAAAAGCCAAACAAAACAGCCACTTGTTTGTTTAGGCTTAGATTTTTCGGCCATAAGTTAACTTATAAGCCTAAACAAAGAGGGTCTTACTAGTCCATGTTTGAGTGTTGCAGGATAAATAATACGGGGAATGAAAACGGTCGGAAATGGTACATTATTTTATTATTTTTTTCGAAAACGAACGGAAACGGTCCGGAAATTTTCATATTTATGAATTCATCTATTTAGTGTCAACTTTAATGCCACGCTGACAGAAATTAAAAAAACTAAATTTTGAAAACGGTAACATCGGTAAAATTATTATTATTATATTAGTTTTACGGAAATGGTATCGGTACGGTCGGAAAATTTTCATACCGTTTTCACCCCTTAATACCTCAATCTGCCGCTGCTAGAAGAAGTAGTAGCTGTCCACCAGTGGCGGAGCTGGACAGAAAATCAAAGGGGGGCCAGCCGGCTTTTGACAGTTCAAAAAATTAGCAATTTCTCTTTTCTTTCATGCATTGGCAACACGTAAAAGCGAATAGTTTGCAAAAGTCGACAACAAAGATCAGCTACAGATGTCAGATTTTAAAATTTAGGATTTGTGGATACATCAAGTTCATAGTGACGTAATTGACATCTCAAATTGGCTCTCTCTTCTAAAAAATCAGCAGGATAGAACTTTAAAGCTAGAGAGCACACTTTATCAATGTTGAACTGAATGAATCACTTGGATCCAAAGATGTACACAAAGTGAGAAACTCTGTTGCTTATTCACTGAATCTGCTATGATATATGGGGGTAATAAAAAATTTTGTTTTTATTGGAAGGGGCCATGGCCCCTGCCAGCCCCCCTCAGTTCCGCCACTGCTGTCCACGTAGCGTAAAACCCCAGCACCACGAACAGAAACCACGCGTCTACCTACCATCTTTTTTTTTTAGACCGCACGGAGTCATATATATCTACAGTAAAATCTGCCATGGAAAATCCGTCCATCACGCTAGCCTAAGCGGTTTAATTAGTCGAAATTGAAAGCAACAGGAAGCATGTGTGTAATCAGTAACATTGCAACAATATAGGTAAACCGAGCAAATCATGCGTGCGTCATTTAATTTGTATGTTCAAGTAAATTCCAGTTAAAAAATAAAGTAAATCTCACAAAACTATATATATACTTTGATGAAACTATCACAAAACTACATACATATTTAAGGAATCGATTTAGCAGTATATTTATCATAAACTATATATTTAAGATAGCCTATCACAAAACTACAAAGTAACAAATTTATCCCAAAACTATAGATTTAATACCAATATATATCTAATAAAAAATACATAAGGCTTCTAATAGTGTAATAGTGATAGTGATCCCATGTTTTAATTTATTGCTTGGGCACAAAACCAAGGAAGGATTTTAATTTACTTTTTCAATTATAGTGCAATAGTGATCCCAATGTTTTAGTTTATTTCTCATCTCCTAATAGCTGTTATACCAGTGAAAGAACGTCTTTACCTGTTGCAACGCACAAGCATTTTTTTCTAGTTTAATCATAAAACTGCATCTATAACTTTACCTGTTGCAATGCACAAGTATTTTTTCTAGTATAATCATAAAACTGCATCATTTATAGCTCTAACATAACTGTAGTGCTAGAGATTTGAACTCTAAAATTTATAATTTTGTGATAATTTCAATATTAAATCTGTAGTTCTATGCTAATTTTAATATTAAATATGTAGTTTTGTAATGCTTAGCCTTAACTTTGTAGTTTTACGGTAAAATTTGGTATTGAATCTGTAATTTTACGATACAACACTTTAAATATATAGTTTTGTGATAGTTTAATCAAAATATCTATAATTTTGTGAAAATTACTTTAAAAATTACTTCCTAAGATGTGTAGCATATTTTGATTTTAGAAAATCAATCTTTAGTATACCAATAATTAGTTAACATAACATGTATAGAACTTACAACATTAGATTCATAATTCGAAACATTATCATATAAAAACTTTCTATTGCACATAATAAATGCTCTCTGGTCCAAAGTGAACAATCAGAGTACCTATTATTCTTCTTCCACTAATATTTCAACTATAACTTCATAACTCCTTCAAAATAATTTGCCACAACATTAACAATAATAAAATTTTGAAGTACATTAGTCGGGGAGGACTATGGATCGGACGTCAAACGTTTTGCAAAACATCGGATGGTGTTGCACAACATTGTTACAAAGTGTCGCATATATTTCATCGTTTGATGGAAAATGTTTCAACAAAATATAGAGAATAATGTTTCATTGCATGGCACAAAAATGTCTCAGCCCTTGAACAAACATGGTTCAACATATAGAAAAAATGTTTCAACAATTTAAACAGTGAAACACAATCGAATCATTCTTGAAGCATTTTGCTATAACACATGAAACATCGATTTTGAGCTACTGAAATATCCAAATACTTTGAAAAAAAATGAAACACAAAGAAAAACACCGCAAATTTTTGGTCTTCCTCCTTTCTAGTGGCAGGCCACCGTATTGGCACCGGATTACTTATACTCCATCCATGAAGACACTCTATTGCATTCTCTAGATGATCCACACCGCGTACACTGTCCTTCCTACTACCGTTGTTGACGAAGATGAGGCTGAGCTAGTCCCCTCATTGCTGGTTCCCCTCCCTTGATCTAGCGCCCTGAGCTTAGCATGGTCAGAACGCCGGCCTACTACATCCTGGCAATGTGGTGCAGAGCAAGATGAGTCGCCTCATGCTCGCCATCGAGCATTAGCGATGGTCTCAGCAACTCGGCTCCATAGCTGCTCCAGTTGCTATGGGGAGAGAAGGGGAAAAATAAATGACCGGGAGTGGGGGAGTGGGAATAAGATTGACTATTGGAAAGAAAAGGAGATGTAGATAATGATTAGATAAAAGTGAGACAGATGCATTTAATATTTCCTCGTACGCCAGATGGAGATGAAGCGTTTTCGACATTAGTCTCCAGCAAAAGAGCGGGAAATATACCTATTTTGTCCTACTTCTACGAGCATAGAAAAATTCTCCATCCTCCCTCTCCAGTCTCCCAACCTTTCTCTCTATATCCACGTAGGCATCCATGTCATCCATTACGGTGACGGGGCCAGTGTTCCACGTGGCATTCGTGGCCCGTGTGAACGCGTCCCTGCACCCCGCACCGGTGGGGGCCCAGATTCCTCACCCTCACTGACCCACGGGCCCCACCCGTCAAACGAGCGGCCCACCCGCTTCCCGAAAGACGCGTCACGCCTCGGCCCCACGGACGTTTTGTTACCCCACCCGGCACCTACTCGCCGTCCCCACCACTCCACAGTGCCAGTGACGCGTGGGTCACACCCGCTCCCTTGGTCGGCCCCAAACCCTCCCACCGCCCACCTGAGCGAGTGGGGCACGAGTCCCTATATATATAGGCGCCTCTCTCCTCCGCCCCCGCCGACCGCCGCGTGCTCTCTCCTCCGCCGCCGCCGTCGTCCGCCGCCGCCCGCCGCGTCACACACACAGAGGAAGCAATCGGCTGCCCCCGCCTCCTCCCCCCATCGGCTGCCTCTCTTCGCGACGGAGAGAAGAGGATAGGACCCCGACTGCACGCAAACGCGAAACCCTAGGCTCGTCGCCGGCGGCGGCGGCGGCGGCGACCGGTGGGGAGATGGCGGGGCGGCGGCCGCTCTTCGACCTCAACGTCGCCCACGAGGATTGGGATTGGGAGAAGGGGGAAGAGGCGGAGGCGGAGGAGGAGGAGCCCGAGGAGGTTGTTGAGGAGGGGAAGAAGGAGGTGGTAGTGCTCGAGGAGGAGGAGGAGGAGGAGGAGCCCCATGAGGTGATCATGGAGGAGGAGGTGGTGGAGGAAGTGGTGGAGGAGGAGGCGGCGGTGGCGGAGGAGGTGGACGGGGAGGTGAGGAGGAAGAGGAAGGACTGCGAGGTTTTGGTGGGAGGGCTTCCCCGGGACGCGGCGGAGGAGGACGTGGCGCGGGCGCTCGCGGACGCCGGCGATGTGGAGGAGGTGCGGCTCGTGCGGGATCCGGCGGACCCGCGCTCCAACAAGGGCTTCGCCTTCGTGCGATTCGCCGCCGCCTGGCAGGCGCGGTGGGCTGCCGACGACGTCCGCACGGCCATGGTATTGTGTCCACCCCCCCCCCCCCCCCTGCACTAGATTCGTATCTCCGACTCGTTCGATTTGGATAGAGTTGTATCTAATGCGAATTTGATATGTTGAGAATAAGTAGTTTGGGAAAAAGTGTTAGCTTTAGTCATGCTTGAAGTAGAGCTGATAAAGTTAGTGGTCTGGGATGCTTCTTGTTCACTAATTTGAGGTAATCTATGCCCTTGCAATCTCGTTTTGTTGTTGGCTTGTGAAATTTGAATTAGTGGATGTGGAATTAGATAATGAGATTAAGTAGTTTGGGAAAAGATGTTGCTTTAGTCATGCTTGAAGTAGAGCTGATAAAATTAGTGGTCTGGAATGTTTTTTGTTTACTAAATTTAGGTATTATTTATCCTTGTGATTTCATTTTGTTGTTGGCTTGCAAGATTTAAATTAGTGGATGTGGTATCAGGGCTTTTGATTAGTGTTGAGGAAGTAGATGTATGGTATGTGCCCTTGTTTTTCAAGGCCTAAGTGACCGATCAGACCACAAAATTGGGGAAAAACAGATTAGCCAGGTTGAAAATGGTACCTTTTAGTTGATTTCATAGCATGTGCCTGGTTCACCTATTGAACTAAAGTCGTAGAGATATTTAAAAGTCTTAGTTTTGAAAAATACTGTTCTAAATTGTGATGTGACCTGCTGTGGTGCTAGGTGTCACCTTCCCACTAAGGTCCTATGCACCACCCTGCTTTCCCGCCAAGTGCCTTATCCAAACATAATTTTAATGGTCATATTACGTTAAGCTTGTAATGGCATATTTGTCAGTACTTGATGCTTCGGATAGTTTTAATGACGACTCCTGCTGGAATGCCTTCTTAAATGCGTTTTGTGTTTCATATATCTGGTAATAATGACCAAGACGTGGCAATCTAAAAGAAGCTGAAACTAAATTAGCAAATATTTTGGCGCTCATTTTTCTAAATGCAATGAGCAAATATTTTTGGTTGTTAAGCCAATATGGTAATAGCCAATGATTTCATTCATGGTGTCATTGGAAAAAGAGGCACTCAGTTAGATTTACCCAATGAAAATGGGAAATTCCTGATAATTTGTTGTGCTATTTATAAATATTTTAAATGCTGTTAATTACTCCCTCCGTCCCAAAAAAACTCAACCTCGTACTACGATGTGACACATCCTAGTACTAGATTGCCTTTGTTTGGGATGGAGGGAGTAATTTGTACCACACTGCCTCACGCTCAGGACAAACACTAGGACAATCGTTATTAAAGATGCTACTTACATGAATACTTTTCGATGTTCCCGGATAAGTTCAAACTGATTGAATCTCAGTTATCTTGTTGTAGCATCAGTTTGAATTGAATGTAAAATGTATAAACTTGCATACTTGATAAAAATCTGCAATTGATCCATATGTGCACACACAAACATCCATTTACTAAAATGTGTTTTGCCAATGTGTGCACAAGTCCAAGTTAGCATACTTGCATTTATGTTATGGTTTTATGTTTAAGCACTGGTCACTATACTAGTTATTCTATTGAAATGGTGATGCGAATAAGTATCTAAACTAGAGGACAACTGCACTTATGAACTAATTATTCTGTTGAAGTTGTTACTTTAGTTAAGAGTCACAATTAGAGCCACAATGCAAATGTGCCAAGCTTATTATACTCCGCGATATTTGCCAATTCATTGTGAAGTTTGCTCCCACAATGAACTGTTAGATCATTAGATCCAAGTCTGTTGAACTCCACATTAGTTTTAGTTTCCCTTCTATTAGACGATAATGATATCTTTATTGATCAGTAATAATGTTTTTCCAGGTCAAGGGAGAAGCTTGTATGATATGCAAGAATGATGCAAACGAGACCCTTCATCTGCGGAATATATGCTTTGATTGGACAAAAGATGATGTATGCTTTCATCCTTATTTAATTAATTGATTGTAATTTTTGTCACAAGCATATTGTTATTTTCTACAAGGGTTCTCTTCTGTGCAGTTAGCGGAGGAACTGAAAACTTACAAGTTGGAAAACCTTGAGGATATTAATTTAGTCGAGGATCCGGAAAGAAAAGGAAAAAACAGAGGCTATGCGTTTCTTGATTTCCGCACAAATGTTGATGGTGTGGATGCTTTTTTTAAACTACAGAACAGAGATATTTATCTTGGTACGGATGTTCGAGCCCAAGTGTCCTTTTCAAAAACTCTTTCACTGGATGATAAGATTATGGAAAAGGTAGTCACACAAACAAGGCATCTATATTTTGTACTATATGAATCTGTTACACGTATTGGAATATCTTGGCTTTGACTTAGCTGCTATAACTTTGATTATGCATTGCAGGTAAAATCTGTTTTCTTGGATGGCTTACCACCTCACTGGGATGAAGACAAAGTGAGAGAAGTGTTTGGAAAGTTTGGTGAAATCGATAGTATACACCTTGCTAGGAACATGTTTAAAGCAAAACGAAAAGATTTTGGTTTCATTGGCTTTACTTCAAGACAATCAGCTTTAGATTGCATTAGTACAGTTAGTAAAGGTGGTATTGTTGAAGGTAGCGGAAAGGTAATCACTTGAGGTGTTTTTAGATGTGCTTTTCTTCTGGTTTATTTGCTCCAGCTACTGTTACTTAGTAGGTCAATATTTTCAGGTTCGAATCAAGGCTTCTTTACAAAGGCCCAGACCTACTTTGAAAAAACATTCATGGCAAGGGATTACTCCCATGTTGGGCATCAGGAGGGGATTTATTGGAAAAAGTTATGGTGATAGAGAACACTATGGTGATAGGGAACGCTATGATGATAGAGAACGTTACCATAATAGAGAACGTTATGGTGATAGGGGATTTGGGTTTTCAGGTCATGCAAGACGTGATTACTCAAGCAATCATGTTCATGACAAATACCATCGCCACATGCATCGTATGGCAATTGATGTTGAAGAAAGGCCCGTTTCATCACGAGAACACAGATCTCATTATAGAAGAGATTCTGCAGTATCTGGTTGGTTTCCTTTAATCTTCTCTAAATAAACTTCTTTCTTTTTTCTTTCTCTCCAAGGCTAATGAATGTTTATTTCCAATACTTGGTTGTAGGCCACATCCACAGGTATGAGAGGGCAAGGCCCAGGGAAGCATATCTTGATAGTCGATATACTAATGAATACCCAAGACATAGGCACTCAAGGCATGAAGAATCCATCCAGCGAGATGCATACAGGAGTAAATATGGACACTCCTACCTGGAGAGGTCACACAGAGATTCTTGCCCAGATTGTAATCCAAGTGATCATAGTTCCAGTGCCTTCTATAAGACAGTAAGCACACTATATAAACACTATCTGGTTTTATTATCCATTGCTTGATGTTCATTGGAGCTGGTTTACTTTCTTAGGACCATGAGCCAACACCTTCATCTTCCCAAGTAGCATCCCACTGTGAGGAATCGTTCAGTCAGGTTGTGTTTTTACACTTCCTCCTATAAATTCAGTTGCTTCAGAGTGATGCTAACTATTTGATCTTATGTTTCCCAGGGCCGTAAGTTGATGGCATCAAGTTCCCCTGGGATGTGTAATTGTGGCGAATGCTATGTTGTAAGCACAAAACTACAGCACTAGTGTTTGGAATGAAGTTTCTTTGTAATACTTGATTCTGATTGTAGAATCTTCTTTTTTGTCAGGAACAAGATGCAGCCCCCGCAAGCTCCCAAGTGGTGCCTCTTCGTCACCAGTTGGCCAAACCTTTTCATGAGCGAAGGTATATATATTCTGACGCTTCATGTGTTCCTATCCTTTCACCTACTCTTCGAACTGGTTAAAAAAACCGTACTCTGATCTTTTGCTGTAGTTCTGAGCCTGATGACCACTCTGCTTCTGCCTATGAAGCTGCGGAGTACAAAGAACGCAAGAGCAGGTATCATCCATCTTCCAGAGATGGCCCCAGTAATACTCACCACAGGAATTACCGTAGACAAGGAAGATAGGTCCAAGTAAGCAAAGCTAAGCTTTCGACAAGATAGAGAAGCTGCTCATGGCAGTGCAGCTGCTGCTAGAGCTATACTTATTTAGTAGCGTCGAGTTACCATTGGTGCATTGGTGGTGCTCCCCCGATGCAGAATCCTCCCAAAAGGATTTCTGGCTTTTGTGGGCGTTGCAATTTTTTCCGGCCCTGTGGTTGCGCACATTTTACCTTGGGATGCCATGTCATGTGATGTGACATTGTAGTTCGTTTACCCCGGATACATACCGATAGAAATCCAAAGAAAGAGATGTTAACTTGCATGGTGGTGCGTTGCGTTGCAGCCTGGTGCGGTTCGTATGAGTTTCAGTTTTACTGCTGGTGTCTTCAGAGTTCTGATGTCGCTTTGGCCGTTGGTTGATTGAGATGTTGCAATTGCGAGTCAAAAATTTCGTTGACAAGCACTATAGAGCATTGCGTGCGTAATCTGAAAGAATATAGTTTCTTTTAGTGCCGTACTACCAAACACAAAAGGTGCTGAATATATATATTTTTGATTTGTGCGACACGTGCCATGTAGCACCACATAACTTGGTTCGATGAACGCGCAGCAAAGAAGGGCGAGTTTTGTGCTCCAAACCGTACACGATAGTGCACATTACTTTACATGATGCTTTTCTTTATCTCCCTATGTACATCAAATTTTTAGCTGTTTTTTACTCCCTCCGTCTAAAAAAAAACTAGTATTAGATGAGATGTTTTCTAGTATAATGAATGTGGATAGGAGTATGTCCAGATTCGTTGTATTAGAAAATATCACATCCAGTACTAGGTTGAGTTTTTTTGGACGGAGGGAATATGTGGTACTACACATCACTGTGTTGCACGTCTTAAAACGGTCACTTTTTATAATCAAAGTTTTCTTTGGACTACCTTTTCTCAATCTTTACGCTTTCAAACAAGTAATTGTGTTTTCTTTTTTATGGTTTACCACCCTAACTATATAGTGTGGCTGGGGTAAGATAGTTGACGTGGGTGTGCCGATGTGTGCTTGAGAATATAGGGTTGGGTGGTTCAAAATGTAAAAAGCAAAATTACTTAATTCAAAGTAACAAGATTAATAAAAATCTGGTAATAAAAAATGACTCAAATTACGATTCGCTTTAAAATTATTTTCGTCATTGATGTGTGCACATCTGAGTGCACTTTGGTGATTAGGTACGCAACTCTCTTGTCAACTGAGACCGCAGGAGCCTGGAGGGCAATCTGTACACATTTTATACGGTAGTTTGTGGACCATACGCACTTGGCAGTGGAGTTTATACAACTTAGGACTCTTTTGATTAAAAGAAAATTCATAGAATTTTTTTCCTATATAGCTCTTTGAATCAATGGAATGGATCCTATAAAATCCTATGAAATTCCTATGGATTGTCTTTTCCCATGCAAGTTTTGGAAAAAATTTAACATGAGGTAGAACCTCATGGAAAGAATCCTTTGAGGCCCCTTTTGATTCAAAGGAAATTCATAGGAATTTTAGAGGATTTCATTCCTATAGGATTTTTTCCTATATAGCCCTTTGAAAATCCTATAGCCCTTTGAATCAAAGGAATGGATATCCTATGAAATTCCTATGGATTGGCTAATACCATGCAAGTTTTGGAGGAATTCTAACATAAGGTAAAACCTCTTGGAAACTTTCCTTTAAGTCTTTATCTCTCCTCTAATTCATGCGTTTTTCCTGCGGTCCAATCAAACTACCATTTCTCTGTTTTTCCTGTGTTTTGCAATCCTCTGTTTTACACTTAGGGCCCCTTTGAATCGTAGGAATGAAAAAACAGAGGAATAGGAAAAACACAGGATTCTGACAGGAATACAATTGTAAAACAGAGGATTGCAAAACACAGGAAAAACACAGGAATGGCTGTTTGATTGGACCACAGGAAAAACGCAGGAATCAGATGAGAGAGATAGACTCAGAGGAAATGTTCCAAGAGGTTAGACCTCTTGCTAACTTTCCTCCAAAATGTGCATAGGATTACCCATTCCATAGGAATTTTAAAGGATTGGATAGGATTCAATCCTTTGTCTCAAAGGCCTTCATAGGATTTTTTTTCCATAGGATTGAAATCCTCCAAAATTCCTACATTTTTCCTACAAATCAAAGGGGCCCTATGTTTTTCCTACATTCCTATCAAAATCCTGTGTTTTTCCTGTTCCTATGTTTTCTCATTCCTGCGATTCAAAGGGGCCCTCAGTCTTTATCTCTCCTCAAATTCCTGTGTTTTTCCTGCGGCTCAATCAAACAGTCATTCCTATATTTTTTCTGTGTTTTGCAATCCTGTTTTACACTTGTATTCCTGTCAGAATCCTATGTTTTTCCTATTCCTTTGTTTTTTCATTCCTATGATTCAAAGAGGTATACAATACCTTATGGTTTTACGCACTCAAAGGGGTATACAATATCTTATGGTTTTACACACTTATGTGATGGGATGCGAATAATTTCTTGCTTGGTGTGTACTAGATAAGAGGATGGAATGGATGTACGGTGATTGATTGAGACGACAAAATTGGATGAAATCACCATATTTTACAACTTGAATCAATATTGGTTCCCAGATTAAATAGAGAGAACATTAGGGCCCTTTTGATTCAAAGGAAATTCATAGGAATTTTAGAGGATTTTATTCCTATAGGAATTTTTTCCTATATAGCCCTTTGAATCAAAGGAATGGATCCTATGGAATCCTATGAAATTCCTATGGAATGCCTCTTCCCATGTAAGTTTTGGAAGAAATTTAACATGAGGTAGAACCTCATGGAAAGAATCATTTGAGTCTTTATCTCTCCTCAAATTCCTGTGTTTTTTCTGCGGCTCAATCAAACAGTCGTTCCTATATTTTTCCTGTATTTTGCAATTATCTGTTTTACACTTGTATTCCTATCAGAATCCTGTGTTTTTTCTATTTCTCCGTTTTTTCATTCCTATGATTCAAAAGGGCCAGTAGAGCAATGATTAATGACATTGTTTTAATTGAGAGTATCCTATGTGGAGAAGTAAAGTTTTGCTAGCAATCACATAAGTATCCAATGCTCACATTTAATTAATCGAAATGTGGCTGCACCAAATCACAGCTAATGGGGATAGTTATATAGGATTTGTAGATACATAACATAGCTCTACTGCTAAAACACCTAAGCAAGTTTTACATGGCTGCTAATTTACCTTGGCCAAGATTGATACGGAGTTCTCATTATGGTTCTATGGTACCTCATTTATTGTTTAACAAGGGTTCGTTCCGGTGGAGGGATCTAAATAACACCCCTAACCGTACGAATTTTCTCGTTTTTTTGGAATTTTTTTCGGCTCCTCGGGGAGGATAAGCGTGGTTGGCTATTTTTGCAAAAAACTCCTCGTGTTTGTAGAAAATATCGCACAGTTCCTTAAACCGACTGACAACCCGACATGTTTTATCCGAAAAACCCCTTGTATTTCAGCGAAATACAATGTGAAGAAGAGAAAATTCCGCTTCTAGGGGTTTTTATGAAAAACATCCATCCCCTACCCCCAATCCCCAAACCCTCCTCGTTCCCTCACCTCAGCGCCGCCGCCGCCGCAAGCCCCGCCGCCGCCGTCCGTCCTCCCCTCGACGTCGCCTTTCGCTCTCCCCCCGTGGTCGCCGTGCGCCATCCCCCGCCGCCGCCGTGCGTCATCTGGCGCCGGTCCCCCTTCCCCCTTCTTCGCCCTCCCCTCGCGGCGGTGGCGTAACCGGCGCCGGTTTCCCCCTCCCCTCGTGGCGGCGTCTGAGTCGGCTCCGGTGCTCCCCTCCCTCTTCCATCCCCTTTCGACGGCGTCGGGGATGACGGCAACGCGGTGGTGGTGGCGGTGTCAGGTGCGGGTAGAAAGGAGCTGGTGACGGGCGGGGACAAGGCGTCCCGATCTGCACTGACTCGATCTGCGCGAGCCAACCCCGCGCCGGATTGAATAGGGTATGAGGGGAGAGGACGGCGGCATGGGAGGATGAAGAGGACAACGCCGATGGAGAAAGGGGTGAGGTTGCCCGGCGGGGGATGCTGGCCTTCACCGACGCGTGGCTCCCCCCGCCGCGGCCGTCGTCGACCGTCCTCCACCCGTCGTCGCCACCCCCCCCCCTTCTCCCCTATCTCGGGCCTCTTCCCGACCTCATGCCTGCACGAGCGCCGGCCGCGTCCCGTGCTCCTCTCCTGGCGGCGGCGTCGGAGCCGGCGCCCGGTGCCGTCCTCCCTTCTGGATCGATGGATTTGGAGGTAGTACCGGCGGTGGCGGTGTTGGGAGGAATCTATATGAGTATTTCACTTTCATTCCTCCTCCTCTCACTCTCACTACCGATCGGGAGCGCGGAGTGGTGATGGTGGCGATGTCGGAGCGGGGGTGCTGGTCGCGTCCATGGCTCACCTCATCAGGGCACGCGCCATCCGCGCCGGCACCATCATCCGCGTCCTCGACTATCTCTTCATCGACTCCGACATCAACACAAGGTGACCATACAAATCCTTCCTGCTTTCGATCGATCTCATCTCGCTGCTATAATCATGTATCAGACCAGATGCCTGCCTGGCTGATCGATCTTTTCAAGGAGCCGCTCTTTGATCATTTTAATGTATGTGTGTGCACGTTTTGACTGCTATCGGGGAAATTTTGGTTAATTTCCTTTTTTCATTCTAACTGCTAGGTAAAATTTTATTCTGAAATGCTCTGCCGAAATTCGTTTTTTCGGAGTTCTAAACGGCGCTAGGGAAGGACTGATGAATAACAGGGCCTGCTCTTTACTGATCCAGGGCAGAAATTAAATCTAAAAAATTAACCAAAGTCTGGTCTATTTTTGTATAGTAGCAGCTCTTGTCCAGTTTATTTACATCAGGCAACATTCTAAAGTGATGAAATGCGGATGAAATCAAATGGATGATCTACTTGTTCATATTGATAAATTTAATATTACACATTATCAACCTAACAAATGATGTAGTTTAAGAAAGTTTTTAGCAAATCATTATAAGCATGGAGTAATTAATCCATGTCAATCATCCGATTAACAACCTGTTTAGAATGGAACATTGTTAGCTATTTCTTTTTGTTACTTGAAACTTTGAAAGTTTCAAGTATTACAACATGTGTCAACACTTACTGAAAATTGAATCCATAACTAACTTTTCCTATCATATCTTGGTTTCTCAGTTCAGGGTCATTATCGTCCAGCAACTTGAATTGCTGCAAACTGAGTGTGCACTGATCGGTACTAGCAATACTCATGCGAGCCCAGTAAACTTTATCTCACATGGAACCATGCATTTCCTTTCCATTGTGAGCTGTCCCCGGCATGTTGCTACTGGGTACCTGTTCTGACCGACGTGGTGGAGTGGTGATGTTGCAGAACGCGTACAACATGCTCCACAGCGACATGGTGGCGGCCGTGCGTATTGCGCACGCATGCTGTATGTTCCTCGACGAGCTCAGCACCACATACCTCTTTCCTGCCCACCACAACGTCAACGTGAGCACATTCAGATCTCCCAACTTTATAAAAGAAATTGCATCTTAATTCAAAGATAGTTTCTTGCACCTCTTCGATGCTTCATATCTGGAGATTTGGGTAGCGGAAATTGACTACAACGACCTATCTCTGATTTTGGAGTCGATACTAAATAATCAAGAGAATGGGCTTGTTTTGTTTTTTTTTTTTTTTCTAGAGTGGGATATGGAAACACCTAGCCCACCGTCTAAGATGAGATGTTGTCTAGGATAATAGTTGTAATTGGTAGATGGGATATTGCAGGGCTACGAGAGGGTAAATGATCCCTCTGTGTAATAGGGGAGGGGAGTTTATTTCTAGGGTGAACTAAACCATCCAAACAAGCAAGTGCAATTCTGAACAGAAAGTAAGGTAATTGACTGCAACATCTATCACCGAATAGATGGTGAAATGAAGATCTTAGGCTTTTTTGCCACTTGAATTGTAGTTTCTAAATACATGTCCACTGATATATCTGAACCATAGCTACTTTTCACGGACAAACTAGCTTCATATGTATGAAACATGGCAATGAAAATGTTGTTTGATTCCTGGATTCTGACCTACTGGATTTGGATGCATCATCTTTCCTTTGAAGTGTTAGCCATCATCTGCAAAAGTATTGCATTCCCAAGCTCTTTGGATGGCCCGGTGCCAAAATTGAAGAACATCATGTACTGTGTTGGAGAGTGCAAACCATTCAAGGCACCACAAAACATATCTCCTCTGTTCTTTGTAGATGTTGTATTAGGATACATGCAATCAAAGATTCAAACATCAGATTCTTTACCAGCTAAAATATCAAAAAATATTAAGACTTGGCAGTGTAGTTATCTTTTTACTAATTCTTATAGATATATGATTAGAAAAATAGAATGGTAAAAACATGGGTATTCGACACTCTCGCAGTGTACTAGACAAGTAAAAAAGGACACTAGGGAGTATAAATCAGTCAGCACATATTTCATTTTGGCACTTGATATTTGGTGCCACCTCACCTGTCATATCATGGTTTTGTTGTTTTCCACCTTACTTTCAGGACAGTGCAAATGTACCAAACAACACAGATGTTTGCATTGATGTGTACCATACCCTTCAGTTCAAAATTTCGCTTACATGATACAAGCAGATAGCAGCAGACTCCGGTCCTTCTCGTTTTTGTATTTGAGAGTATTCTGCCATAGTTCCTTTTAGGGTTGCTAACTTACTTGCCATTTTACCCCACGTTATATATGATGTATTGTTTGGCAGGAGAACGTCAATCGAGGTCATTCCAGTTCAGAAAGAAAAATACAATTTCTTTGCTATCCATTCATGAAGAATTGTACATTACAGAGTTTTAAAGTAAATTGAAAAACGATTGCACCACAAACCACTTTTTATTTAAATTTGTTGTACCTACTACATCTCATATTGTTAAATGTCAGGTCAACATACTGGGGATATATACATGACAAAAGAACAGAGCAAACTCCTTTTTTATCCAAATCATTGTTCACTGAAGTGGAGTTGTTTCTCAGAGACCTCACTAATAGGGTGAGCTTACAAGACTGATCATTGTTAGTCTTCAGCTGGAAACCAAGCAAAAGATGTCATACTGTTGTAACCATGTTTGAAGACAATTTCGTTGCCTCTTGTTTGAAGATGGCAATTGTCATAATGCGTGGTTTGTCAAAAATATGTCCACTGTGACATGCGTATATGTATTAATAATTTGTCAGTTATTTGTACCTATCTGTTTTGCCTAGATGATTATTGTAAATGCTCTTATCGCAATGTACCATCCTGTATTATTCATGTTATTACTGATATAATCTTGCGCGCGGCGTGGCGCCGCGCCATGGCCCATCTAGTGCTTTGCAACTACTGATCCTGATGTCTTGGGCTTTGGCAGTGATTGGTGGGCACTGGGCATAGTTTAAGGGTGACTAGGCAACGGTAAGACTGCCGGTGAGCAGAACAATGGTGATAGCGTTGGTTGCATTTGGTGTTAATTGCAGGCATGTGCCTGGCCGTAGGTTTCTGTTTTGCTCATAGTTCATGGTAAGAGTGGACGAGGAACCATGCCAACAAAAGCATATAAATGTATTTTTGAAAAACTTAATGTACCATCGGATATTAGTCTACCACTTTATCCTGTCCAGCCATTATTTTTCTATCAGAGAATTAACAGATAAAGGAGAAATATGGACCCATCAGTGCTCTCATATACTTAGTGGCAGTTGAGTTTCATCAATGCTCTCTCGTAAGGTGATGAGATTATTAGGAAAATTTCAAATAGTCCCACCTGAGCACATCTCTACATTGTAGAGTTTCACAAGTAAGAAATGCATCTCCATTCTGATTTTTATACAATATTTTTTTTACCCTGCCTATGAAAAACTAATTTTTTATTTATAGTAATTAATAAGTCTTGAATTAAATAAGTGGTAAATCTTAAATTGAATTTGTAAAAATAGGATGGACGTTGTTTCAAAGGGCATCCAGATTTGGACGTTGTTCTAAGAAGTGTCCAGAGGTGGACGTTGTACCGAAGCACGTCCAGGCTCGGTTTGGGGCGCCCATGCCGCCATGCGGAGAGGCGCCATCGTCGACTCTCCTCTCCTCGGGCCCAATGTTGGTGCAGGGCTCAGGCAAGGTGCTGCCATCCCCGCCGTTCACCTCGACTCTGGGAGACTGCAACGGCTGCCTTCCGGCTTCCGCCTCCACAACGTCAGGAATCTGCCGTTGCAGTTCACCTCAACTCACCTCGAAGGCTCTCGAATCTGGAGAGGACGCCGCCGCTTTCTGCCTTCACGCCGGGAGATCGCAGCCGCTATCCACGTTCTGGTTGAGTCATGCTGGAACAATAACCCACTCATGCCGGCTTGTATTGCGTCGTCTGTCCGCCCCTCTTGGTTCCTAACAGCAAGACCAGGTATCGCCTCACTCCAGGTGGCTGGCCGAGCAAGTATGCTCAGTTCATAGATCTTGGTATTCAGGTGTATATGTTCTGCAATAGAAAGTTTACAAAGAATGCAAAATTATGAAGGGTAGGACGCAAACATCCTCCTTCTATCAGATCATCTGTCGCCCGATGACTTCCAATCTCTGGCCTGTTGCAAAAGGAAAAAAAAAAGCATCGATAGAAGACCTCGCATGCAGTACATCTGGCGGCCGCTTCTCAAGATTCAGTCAGCAAAGAGCTCGATGCGTAGTAAACAATGGACCAGCACAAAAACCAAACTAATCAAATATCTCAAAATAAAAGTGGTGGCTGTTCACATATGACCCCGAGTAGAGTGTCCGTCATGCGGAACAGCGGAAGCATTGAAGGAGGGCCGGGGGATGGCGACCCTGTCTGGCAGATCAGGTAGAGAGCGGTGCCTGCTCAGCAAGCAAGCAATCAACGAGAGACAATAGTCTGCATAGGAGTAACGAGGCAGAGTTCGACCATTGTGTGATTGGATCCAAAGTCCAATCTTAGTCCGGTGAATTGGACGGCTCTTTGGGGTTTTCAATGGACGCCCTTGTAAGCAGCGTCCCCATCTGGACGTTTTCTACAACAGCGTCCACACCTGGACGCCCTATGCAATAGCGTCCTTCCTATTTTCGTAAAAATTGACTTTGCTTTATTATATATTTAATTTCTGCATTATTAATTATTATGAATAAAAAATTCGGTATGAAAAAAAAAGGTTGGTTGTAAAAATAGTTTTTTTTAAGTAGTAGTGGCCACGGCTCCCGTCGTCGCGCACCATGCAGATGGCATTGCCTAGCTAACCACGATATCGGCATCTCGCTGCTCTGCAGGTGCTCGGTCAAATGACCGGTAAGATTCAATGGCTGGTAAGCGACACTTATACGCCACTGGTTTGAAGAACATCACTGCTATTTGTTTTGCCTTGGAATTTCCTTCTTAATTTAAGTAATTTATCCATGTTTTGCAACCCCACCCCACCCCCCAAAAAAAAAAATCCGTGTTACATGCAATTGTATCTGACCGAAAAAAAAAATCCGTGATACAATTGCATATGCTAGTGTGGCTAAAACCAGATACATACCTCCTATGTTTGCAATGAAGTAACTTTAGTTAAATTTTACAGAAATAAAATAGTGTCATGTGAAACTGCCATAGACCGACGGAATGTGACCTCGCATCACAATGAAAATGGAACGGAAATTTAGCTAAGCCAGTGCTTGACTTGACAGAAATCAGGACCTGACCTGAAACACCGCAGAATGTCACGGCAGCAGCATGTGGCATACACAGCCTGCACCCATGCTCAAATGCACATGCACAAGAAAAAGAAATTCTACCATAGCATAGATTCAGATCTCTCATTCTTGATTTCACAACAGCTAGCCACATGAGCATGAATTTTCAGTATATGAAAACCCTCTTAAAAACAAATTCAGTATTGCAACAATCCACAAACATTGCAACAGATAGATCATGCTTGATTCTCCAAGTAAGATTTTCGAAGATGATCTAGTCAGAATCCGAAGTAAGATCCATTTCAGGGTGAAACGGGCGGAGTAACTTTGCTAGGTGCTCCCCCATGTCATCCACCTCCTCCCTCCCGAAGCCCCAGTCACGGAGGACCAAAGACCCGATGGCACCTCTTGCGACACCGTGCTTCTGGAGGCTCCCCGATCGCCTCTCTATGAAAGGCAGGACAGTGCTGCTTGATCGTAATCGTGCCGCCATCGGTATCGATTCAATATCGAGTGAGCCCTTTGGCTGGGATTCTTCTGCATGGTCGCTAAGGATCTCCCCGTGCCGGCCAATGTTGCCTCTGAAGATTGACGGGAACGGAAGGGGGACAGGGAGGGGGCAAAGAGATGCTGAGAGATGGGAAAATTTTGGCTTTGTCTCTCTGGCTTCGTAGACTGAACATACCGAGTCTTTCACTTGTGATATGGAAGTCCTTTGCCCACCTGTGCAAACAAATTTCAATTGTTAATTCTTTGTACTTCTACATGTATAACCAAAATTTAGCCACCATGCCTATAATGTTGTGAAATGTTCAATATTGTACAATATAACAGTAGAAAAATAAGTTCTGTTGGCATGACAAAACTTCCCCATCTAGTTTTCCGCGCGCATGCTTTTCAAACTGCTAAACGGTTCGTTTTTTGCAAAAAGTTTCTATACGAAAGTTGCTTAAAAAATCATATTGATTCATTTTTGAAAAAAAAAAGCTAATACTTAATTAATCATGCGCTAATGGACCACTCCGTTTTCCATGCGGAGGAGATAGGTTCCCATCCTCCAGTACCGAACACAGCCTTAATCAGACCCTACGGCAAAAGATAAGACGTGCAGACCTCTATCAAGAGCTCCATGAACCACCAGCGATTCAACTGAATAAGGATCTTCGTCCTCGTCGCTGATTTCAGGGGTCAAAGAGTGCAGCTTCATCTCTATGTTCCCCAATAGCATCTCTATCTGCAAATTAGATGTGTGCAATTAGCAAGCAAGATTAAATTTCCATCCAATGTTGGTATAACAGTAGGGCATATGTTATGTTGTGTACCTGTCAAAGAAGGGGCAGGCATCGCTACATCCAGAGCAGTAACCATATTCTGCCGACCTTGATCAGATAAAATGTGCAGAAGTTCACCAATGTCAAGATTACCAGATGAATGTGCTAAGTCTGAACTCGGGCCCGTTCGTTGCAATCTAAATGGAACAGTAATTGAATGTATTGCTGCAGCACAAACAGCACTAGCATGGAATGGTTTCTCGTCTTGTATATAAAGATACGGTGACATGTAACCTGATGAAACAGAGTGAAAGGAAATTTGTGAGAAAATCTCATTCGGAATAAGCTTTCTGTACATTCACGAAAATATTTTTTAAGGGAATTCATGAAAGTAATTTTGTATGGAAATCAAATGTGAATATACAGCATGAACAAAAGGAGTTGATTCTCTCTTAATGGAAACGCAATCAAGTGCAGTATCTTAAGGCACAAGATCAGTATACATGAAAGCAATCAAAGGCAAAACTAGGCCACCGGAAAGAAGTCCTATAAAATCACAGAATAACAATAGCATCGCAATTTAGTATCCTCCTGTGTATTTAGCCAACTTACGAGAACTCCTCAGACCTAAAAGTGTTCGAATGGAAAGTTTTCAAAAAAGAATAAAAAAATAAACTAAAATCGTGGAGTTCAGGCAAAGGGCATACTTCTACTTAATGAAGGCGGTCCTATGGGGACCATCAGGTTGCAAAAGGACGAAAGTTTTGAAAATGAAACAGCATCATGAAGAGCTCTCATAATGGACTCCCTTTGATTCATCCTGGATGATCCAAGGGTCATTGGATCCCTCACACAGTAAAGCAATACAGGTGTATTTGTGTAATCATCAGCAATGTTCTCCAAAAACTGTGCAGCTACACTGGAAAAACTTCCTGAATCACCCACAATAAACTGGATGCCCTGTGGTAAATTATGAATCAATAATGCTAAAAATAATGGTCTCAAAATATGCATGATATCGAAAATGATGTGCATAAGTGAACATTAGCTTGTTGCAAAACTATAGTAGAGTTTGCTGATAATTTACTGGGGAAAAGTTGGACCTGAATATGGTCGCATTCTTCAACAAAGAACCTTAGCCTCTCATTCATTTCCTCTATTTGCGACCAGTCTGAAACAACCTCTTGTGCGCTGCCATAGTTATCAAACTTGTCAAAGTCTGTCCATGACCCATGTAACTCATATAAACTCTGAGGATGATACTGAACTTTTGAATAATCCGTCCAAAAGTTGACGCCATTCTCTAGACAGTCGATCAGGTCCTTATCTTCAACACTTTTCTGGGAGTTGCTGGCACCATTGCTAGTGCTTGGATTCTGCCCTTCTTCAACTAAGCTTTGCAGAAACAAGTTCCGCCCATGAGGTTTTGAGACTGATCTTGTTACATTTCCAGACCTATATAAACCAGGAAAAAATCATCATGGTAATATATGAGCCCAACACATTATTCAACATATAGGTGCCCCTAACAGGAATACAAGAGTTAGTCCTATTCTCGTCGATGAAATTAGCATATAGTTACTGATAGCATGAATGACAGCAGCACATAACAAGCAACAGCAGGCCAAAAGATGAATGCAACTCTACGAAAATAATAGGCAAATGCAATGCATCACTTCCACAGAAGCTGGATGGGTATATGCATCATTACTACCAGTCCATCGCTCCCTTATTATCAGCCTAAGAGCAGCTCATTGCTTTCTCAGGCTGCAGAAATTTCCTAGAACTGTATCAATCAAACATTGCTAGAGCAAAGCTGCTATATTTGCTATCTGCTTTCTTTGACAATGCAGACATGCTTCCTCCATTTGTCAGAATTATCCCCCAGCTGTAGATACCTAAAAGCTTATTTAACTCTGTAACCCATTTGCACAAGCAATCCGATACTAAACTGAAACAACAGTATTCTGCTGCGTAGCTTGTACATGGCAAATTACAACGATCATTTATGCATGGTGGGCACAATAAGCAAAACCAAACATGGAAGCATATTCTGGAGAAGTTAGAGCACCACTTGCCATGTAGCAACATTGAGCTGATCTGCAGAAGCACTGGTCTGACAGAGATTACCGGATGAACTCAAAGAACCAAGGGACCCCTGCAAATGATACCACCGTGAACACGCAGCCTACACTATCAGTAACAAAATAACAGTTGTTACACACTACAATAATTGGATCAAATTCACAGTCAGATTACCTCGAGAACCAACCGATACCAGACGAGGGCAGTATGTGGGTACACCCTGGTGAAATCAAGCATTGTATGCTAGTAGCTATCAATTACAATTACAACAGATTTTGCGAATCTGGATCACCAAAGGCACTTATTACACTTATTTCAGACTAATGTCGAGGAAGAATCGCATGGAGTGACAGTATTTTCTATTTTCAAACCAACCTGCAATGAATTGCTGGTCCCAAAACACAGAGAACCTCGCTGCTCAGGTAAAGCTTCAGTCCATAAGGCTATACATCTCTGTCGGGAGTTCCAAAGATAATCTGTTACTCCCTCCATTCCAAAATATAAGGCATAACCATCCCTAATCCAAAGACCAAGAAAATAATTATTATCATCTTGTAGTTTGGATCATTATAATAAATACAATGCATGCATCCAATAGAATTATAGAACATGATAATGGAGGATTTAAAAAAGTAATAATTTAATGGAGAAATGGTCATAGTTAATGGCCTACATGCATGGATGCCTTATATTATGGAACATCTAAAAAAGTGGTTGTGCCTTATATTATGGAATGGAGGGAGTATATTGCAAGCACAGTGCAAGAAGTTAATACATATAACCCAAAATGGACACGGTGATCAAAATAACAGTAGAGGAAAGAAACGGATGAAACATACCACAGCATGCAACAGTTTATTGTGTAGATGGACACATGCAGATTTTCCTGATATGCAAGGAGATTCCTCAAGTGTGCTCTTGTTCCTTAGATCCTCTGACACCGGATAATGCCTGCAGCACCTCCATAGCACAACCATTTCTCGCTACCTTTATTCATGTTCCATCTCAACCGATGCAATGCTACAGCTTTAGGAGGAAAGACCTCAAAATTTTCAGGGGATTCGCTACCCCTGCTGGTGCTTGTGCCAAAATTCTCTTGCATTGAAGGAGCAGCTAAAACTATGGCACCAGTTTCTTGTCCTTCATCAGGTTCATCTTGTTGACCATCTCTGATGCTCGGATTTATAGCACAATTGTATTCTGTATGGTGGTTAAGCAGGCATGTCAGGTACAAGCAAAATGATACAAGTTGCAGGCGACAGAGATTACCTGAGTTGGCAAGAAGTTCCCCTTCTTCTATAACATGCAATTGAGCTACATCTTTGCAAGTTTTAGTAGCCCGTTTGGTCCCCAGAGGAACATTTGACAAAGGAGAGTTTGGTAATGCAATACCAATTTTAATGGTTGTTCCCTCCTCTGATAATGAACCACAAAGAAAATATGGTACACGGTTCCTCCCAGGTTCCTTTTCCCAGAATCTCGGAGTAAGCTACAGTAAGTTGAATATTTCTTTAGCAATGTTATAGAGAATCACAATAGCATGCATAAATCAATAGTATATGTGCTGTTTAGTTTACCTCAAAGCAAACAGCAGTTCCATCAGCCACACAATAAGCCGCATAGCCTGGATATCAGCAAAACAAAATTACAAATTCATGAATTATCATGAATATTTGACATTTTTACTCTGCTCACATGTGTGGAACTAAATATTGATATAAGGCTATAACCGATATTCCGATACTTGACATAGATATACTATGGTTGGACATGAGGTGAAATGCACCTGCAATTTCTGAGGCATGGACACTCCAGATCAAATATTCAGACAATTGATAGGTAGAAACACCCTGAGTTTTCATTCCAACAAATGGCCTTCCAGTAACAGGAACATCATTTGCGATTCTCGACAAGCTAACGAACTTTAACGTGCCATCTTCCAATGATATGACAATACCTCTGAACACAAAGATAAAAAATATAACAGTTAACATTACCATTCTTGTAAACAAAAGGGTATGTCTGGCATATATACACACAATATCACCATGAATGAAACAATGTGGTCTATTTAATCACGTCTACTTTGATCCAGTAACACATCAAGACCATGTCCAGTGAAGGAAGCTTGCATATTTAGAAGGTACGTGGGCAAATACAAACATTTATATTAATAATTACGTAAACAAGTGCAAATAGAGCGTTTGCAAAAAAAAAAGTGCAAATAGAATTACTTAAAAAAATACGCTGATGCTTTAATGGAACTAATTATATAAACAAAGACAATATCCACCTTAGCACACACTAACAGAGAAGTACAGGCCCTATGAACATAAATTACATGACTAAAACAATTGTCAACATTCTAGCAAATATGGTTTCTAGTATGTGTTCCAACATTAATGAAAACATACATCTCCATTTATAATTAGTGCAGTGTTTCAAAGACAAGGAAAACAACGTAAACACCGTGTTAGTGATGAAAAATCTTCTGTAGTGAAAAAAAAAACAAGTACATTTAGTGCTTTACAAATATTACCTTGCATCCTTCAACCATTGAAGACTTATTACGGCCCTTCGAGCAGTAGTTAACTCCCAAAGATGGCGATATGGATCTCTGCAGCAAAGATATCTTATGAGATGCACTAAAATTCCCAAATATTACAAAACAAAAACGGTAGAAAACAACAGCAAATCCAAGGGGGCTGTGACAGGTAGTGATTTAACCATAACAATCAATATATCCATAGCCAAACACACTGCAGCTTCTAGAACAAGTTTCTTAGTGCCCATTGAAAAGCTAAAGAAAAAAAACCGTATATCGCACTGGATTCATAAAGAAACTCCTGCTGACATCATTGGTCCATGTGATAATAACATATTCTGCATATCGTGCCTATCTTTTGTTTGTTAACTCGGAATTTTTACCATTAGGAAACAAACAGAAACAAATATGAATGGTTCAGAAATTGGGAGGTGCCACAAATTGAGAGAGGAAGGGGGAGAGACTACCCTCAATGTTCAGACCTCTGAGGACCCATACATAATATTAGAAATTCATGCAGGAAAAGAGAGTAGTTCGAAAGATGTTTTAAACATTGCTTCAGTTCACAACAAGGCCAACACCTACCTTAAATCCCAGAATTTCAGACCATCCTCTCCAGCAGTGACAAAGGCATTCATGTTTTCCTTACTGATAGAATGACAAGAGTCAAAACTCAAAAATTATCTTTTGGAATAGACCAGAAGTAACGGTACAACTGGCTACCTCACAGATGGTGTCCACGACACGGTTCTGATGGGAGCAGATTCAGCAGTTACACACATAAAAGGTTTTGAACCTGTTTATCAACAGAACGCATGATTTAGTTTTGTTTGCAAACAGAACAGAATAAGAAATGTGAAGATTTGGGAACTCCAGTAACTTGCTTTTAAACCAGTAAAGCAGTTCTACAGTCAGACATGTTGTCAGGCAAAGTGTAAATGATAACTGATAAGAGTGACGTCGTTGGCAAAACTATCTAAATACCTTGAAATGACAAGTTTGCTGAGAACTTCCATAAAGCAACCTGGAATATAAGAAAGTCAATCACAGAACTTTCAGAACAGCAACTTGAAAGACTCAAAGGTCACAGGATTTAAGTTAAGAAAATAATTTTGCTGGGTAAGGAAAAGGTACCGTTCCATCGTGACATCCCGCCAATATCATATCATGAGAGGGTGACCAATCAACTGTCAAGGGAATGCTATTTACCATTATAAAGAGGCAATGGCTTCAAAATTAAAGTTCATGCTGAGGAATTAAGAAATATATCCAAATCTTCCACCTAGTTTGAGCTACTACTAGCAAAAAAAAAAAGAAGTCTACAGGTCCAATACCTTTGTCTGTTCCCACACTTTACTTTGGCAGAGCTAAACACAGGCTTCAGCTTTAAAAATCGAGGGTCAGTACCCTCCTTTGAAGAAGAGGAATATATTTTCTGAATCATGCTTGGTGATGGAACTTCCCATCTGTGCACAAAAATGAATTACAAGATGATAAGAGGGGGTGATAGATATTTAAATGAGATAAATAAGGATCTACAAGAGCATACACTCACACTTCAAGCGAGCCATTCCCCAAGAGTACTGCAAGAAAACCCAAACATGATTTATGTTCTGACTGATTTGCTGAAGGAGGTTTCCATTTTATGTCCCAAGCAACTTTTCCATTATGAGCTAAACATAAGACAACCCTTGGTAGAGAAATGTCTTTTGGGACACGAGAAAGGGTCTTTTCTGCAGAACAAATCATATGATAATCTTTAGTTGATTCTTTAAATCGAGCCACTTCTGTATCTTTTAGTTCATCAATAACCTGAGCACTGTTTTCAGAAGGAACAGATACAGCCTGATTTCTCTCTGCGTTTTCAAAGTTACAAGCAGGAGTACAACATGAAGTATATGCAGTTGATGCAGAAGATCCGTCCATGTTCTGTACTTCAACACTAAGCACTACTGAACTTCTTTCATTTGAAACAGATTTCTTTTTATCTTGAACACTGCCCTTTCCGGGACATGATTCTTTCTTGCAATTTTCAACTAAGGCCGCATTGTCGCTTGACTTGGGAATTGTCTGTGTTTTTTGTTCTTCACCCCTGCATGCTTTAGAACAACCGCGTTCCGTTGAAATTGGCTGCTTTCTAGGTCTGCCTCTACCCTTCTTGGCACTTGATTCTTCCTTGCATTTTGCAAGACATATGCCCTGTGCTGGTGTTGCAACACGAGATGTTCCAACACTCAAATGGACACTGTTCTCTATAGCACAGCTTGATCGACCAATGTCATTTGCTAAAATGTCACAATTACTCTTGGCCAAGACCATGAGATTATTTGAATTGGTCAAAGTAGAACCTTTCTTTGGGGTCTCAGTACCAGGAGCAAATACACAACTGGTTGTACTCGGAAATGGTTTCTTCCTAGGTCGTCCCCTCCGCCTCGGACCAGTTGAGTTACTCTTGTTGCTTGATTCAGGTAAAATATACGTAGGCAACATGGATCCTACGTCAGACTGTCCAGATTGCATGGAATTATCAATATGAATTACTTCCTTTTCTGGCTGTTCTCTACCCCTCTGACCTGACAATGGAACTGGGGAGGCTGCATCAACTGCAGCATGAGTTATATTAGCACCAGACCCAGTATTTTCAGTGGGACCCAAACCACAATCAATTGAACCAGGCAACAGACAGACAGAATCATTTCCTAATTCAGTATCAGTGCCTGGAAGATGCTTGCTGTTGCTTGGAGCAGGATACTTTCGGGGCCTCCCCCTTTTTTTCTTGGGCTCCATGCAGGTTAAAGCTATTGGAGATAGAGCTGTAGACAAGTCTTCTGTTAGTTTAATGCCAGACAAACCTTTTATTTCAACAGGTTTTTTCCTAGGTCGCCCTCTACCTTTTCTTGGAGTTGATTCCACAGGATTAACAGTTGGCATGGGACAAGCTATTGCAACGTCACATGAAACAACTGCTGAACTGACAAGAGGATCAATAAGAGCAAACTCTTGACTTGTGTCGTTTTGGGATGAATCTTCCAATTTGGCAATTGGCAGCGGATATTTTCTTGGTCTGCCCCTTGGTCTTTTGACACTTGGTTCCAAGTGATCAGAATTTGTGATGGTCTTTCTTGGTCTACCCCTTCGTTTTGGTTGATTGGATGGATTATATTTATTGCATGCAACCAATGACTGATGAGGATGACCCTCTTCAGATGGTGCTAGGAGACACCAAACTTGAATTATACCTCTCCCGATTAATGGCATGCCAATTTTATGGTAAGAAGAACCAGGAGGGTGAGCAGCAACAGCAAGATACTGCAATGTATAGGAGACGTGCAAATAAGGTTATCAGCTCTCAATAACTTTTACTCCTAGTCCTATACTTTTTTTCAAGACCAGCAAATACTTGAAGATATAAACCATAAAAAGAACATAATACTACTTTCATAGACACTGAACATTCAATGCAATCATGCAATTAATCTGCATGCAAAGATGTCCTTGGGAAGAACTCCCTTCGGTCATTTTCTTATACATGCTTTATCTCAGCGCAAGGTTTTATTAAGTAAAAAAGAAGTAAACTGCCATTTTATCATCCTGCAATGCACAGCACATAGAACTGGAAATGTTGAACCAGATTCACTGCTTTAACAAGAGTTGGAAAAGATGAGAAATTTTACTTTGATTCCTGTGAGCATCTAAAATGGGAAATACAAATACAGAAAACAAAATATGCCTAATATAAGTAAACGTGGGGAGTACCGCAAGAGATGTCTTTAAATTCATGTCACCATAAAGTATGTGGCTCAATGAAACATGTTAATTTTCCCATTGACATATGAACTAAAGAACACTCATCATGTTCATAGTCACAGCAAGTAGTGGATATTGGAACAAAAATTATGCTGATATAAAACAATTTTGAAGCCACAACAAGAGAAAACTTTCAGTATTATCATAGTTATAACCTCACAGTTTATGGGAGAATGAGGCCTGTCACACAACCTAGGGCACCAGTCCAATGCCCAAACATTGCCCCCGGCAAATATAACAAAATCTGAGCTGCAAAAGCTAAAAAATTATTAAACATAATTTAATCAAGATGGCTTCAAGGAGAAGTGAAAGAATATATAACATGGCAGGTAAAAAGTATTAACAATGTTTTATCACACTGTGAGGCAGGTACTAAATAAAGTGGGAAGCACAAAGGCACAAAAATAGTATTAGATCAGATCTATTTTCATCAATCACAAAAAAAAAAAAACACCCCCCCCCCAACCCCCAACCCCAAAAAGGAAAAGGAAGAAGGGTTTGGCAAACGTGCCAAACCCAATGTAGGGGCCTGTTCACTTTGATGCCATTTCTAACCATACCATTTTTTGGCAAAGTTGCCAAGATTGTGCATATGTTTGGTTTCTTACCAAACTTTGGTAAAAACACCAGAAATTTGGCAACTGTACAGTAATGACCAAAATTTGGTAGAATATACGTTGGCAACAAAGTGAACACATTCAAAATAGCTATCTTGCCAAAATTTGGCAACATTGCCAAAATTTGCTAAGGTTTATTTCTTTTGGCATCAAAGTGAACAGGCCCTAGGATTATTCTTCTGGACCAAAAGAATGACCCACTACTCCCAAGTTGATGTGGCTAGTAGTTTTGAAGTGTGTGCAGTCAATTTAAAAAAACCTTAATAACTAGCATGCACAAAAATATTTCAATTGCCACAGGTGTCGATTGGAGACTCTACTGAAGACTTTAAACAAGTTTGGAAGGTTTTCAAAATAAGATTCAAGTCTCGCATCTCGTGTTTCATAGAAGACCTACTCAAAGAGATCAAAGGAGGTATCCCCTGAAACCTGAAAACTACTAACCAATAGCAGGAATACAATATATGTTGCCAATTAGTCAGCCTATTGGTCATGTTACAGCAAATTAGCAACTAGTGAATTGCCAAAGGAGCTAAAATAATACATAAGCAGACATCTTGGGTTATTCCTAATATCAACTGAGAAACTTAACATAACCTATCTCCACTAACAGTATGACCTTTATTGACAAATATGGGGGAAAAACAGACAACAAGATAAGTAGATTGACAAGATTCTAAAGTAGTACAGAAAGAACTCCATAAACAATAACTGTCTGTTTTAGCCTTCCCATCGTCTAGGTGTGTGATCTGCAGTGTGATCCGAACTTAATTATGAGAATATGGTCCAAAAGGAACAAAAGATGATATAAGAAATCTCATTCAGCTGAACACAACAAAAAATAGACTCAAGAACTTAGCACAAGGCACCAACAGCAACTAAGTTACCTGGGGAACAGATGCAGACGAGAACTGTGGTAAGTTTATCTTGTGTGTGTCAACTCTGGATGGAGCTGATCTGGCGTCACAAGTGAAACTAACATTTTTTGGCTCATAAGAGAGGTGCCTCCATTCTCTGCAAAGATATGAAACAACTAGCAGATTAGGTACTAAATAATATTATTTTTTTTAAAAAAAAAGAAGGCAGTCAGATTAGACAAATGAAAAAGCAGCTTGTGAATTCCATTTAATTGATGCTCAGAATGACTGCTAGAACTTTCCACAATCTGTTACTCTTGATGCTGAAAGGAGTCGTCCTCATGTGCATAAGCGAGCTGAACATGGCAAACCTTAAATCTGACCCAACTATAGACTATATACTATGTCAAGGAAAGTGGCCTAACACTATCCATGGAGAAATTCAATCATTGCAGATAGTCTGTCTGGACAAAATGCTAATGGTTATAATAAATGCAGATAATTTATCTAATGTTAACTGCTAATAGTTGACACTTGACACATTTGGATAAAAACCAATCATTGCACTTAGGGAGCAAGTATATGTGACAATGTAGAAATTTTAGTCAGTAAAATTTAAAAGGTGCATGTAGAAGGAGAACCAACAATGCAGCACGTTGAAAATATGCAGTTCCAATTGATGCAAATCAGTATACAGTGAGATGGATGATAGAAAGCTAACGTTCTGAGCAGCCTTTGTATGGCTGTACCAGCTGATCAATCTCAGTTGAGTTTAACAGCCTTATATTGGTGGGTGCTAAAACACAGTGAGTGGTGCTTTTTTAAAAAAAAAAAAATCTTTCTGGTGAACACTGGGCCCCTTAAGTTTTTCTTCTACTTTAATTGGTGATTAAATCAAAGAGTACTAACTAGTTATAGCATGCTACTATAGGTTGCTAATAACTAAAGCTGTTACTGAAACTGCCAATCCTGAATACAAAGTAACAGCTAACAAGTAGTCTTCACAAATAAAGGTGGGGCTCACTGACTTAGTGGCTTCTAGATAAAGGGGATCAAGTTTCGCTACTCCTCTGTACCTTAAACCATAACATCAAATGGTAAGCTAGAAAGTCACAATGTGCATAAATGATCATCGATCAGAGTCATCAAACAACAGATGAGTACAGATTAAGGAAATACATCTACCAGAACAAAAGTGACTTAAACTTAATGAATTAGTAATAAAACAAGTAACAGTGCAACTGCATTTTGTTCATGACATGAAAAAAAAAACCTTGTATCGTTCTAATCAATAGAAAAACAGAATTGTGCATTGAGCTAATATTGTTACCTAAGGACACTGGAAGTAAGAATATAGCCAATTGCAGTGGCAAAAGCCAAATGAATTCTAATAGCCACAACAGGAATAATGAAACGGCACCAAAGCATTCCTGTGACAACTGCTTTTTTCCTGTTTGTGTGGCAGCGATGTCTTGGGATCTAAATTAACAAATTCCAATAAAATTTGCCACCGCGTGTGGCACATAAGGCAATGAATAAATTAAAGAGAGCTTATATGCCACATAAGTTTTCCCATTAAAAGCTCCGTGAAATTGCATCAATGACTAACAAATTAATGCTTTGCTGATAAACGCTACTATTAAACACAAATTCGTCCACTCCACCCAGCTAAATAGGCCAACAACAGAAAGTTACCAATTTTGCCGCGGTGATTAGGTACCGGATTAGACAGAGCAAGGGAGTTTCTCACCTGAGGAAAGTTATTGAAGAGGCGAGCCGCTCTACTTCGGCGTCAGGGAAGTTCGGCTCGGGCTCCCCGGCTGTGAGCTCCGAGATGGCGTGCACCGCTCTGGAGAAGACCTCCGGTGACTCGTCAAATACGCAGACCTCGACGCCATCCTTAACCTCCTCTCCTTCAGTCTGGGGCAGCGCCCCCGTCGCCTCCGGCAGCGCCGCCATCACCGGCGAATCGAGCGAAGAGAGCGGTTGAGCCGTGGAAAACGAGAATGGGGGGAATCGGCCCTCGCAGGTGGGGTTGTTCAATCGAGCCGGCGGCCCGCCATCCCCGAATATTCTGCCGGTTTCCAATTGAGATCTCTACGGGCCTGTAGTTATGGGCTGAAAGCGTAACAATGCATTAGGCCCATATAGCTTCTGACTTTCTGCAAGGCAATGAACAACCAATCGGCTGGTAAGCTTCCTTTATCTTCTTTACTAGTTGACGGCAATGAAACCAAAAAAAAAAAAAAACTACCATACGGATGAGTCGATGAGACTAATTAACATGTGAATATGCAGATTTAGAGACCTAGGAGGAAGAGGATGGGGAGTACACCAACCTTGGGAATAGTTGTCGCGGACTCGGGGAGGAGGCGGGACGCGACGGGCGGCGGTCGAGGGCGGTGCGGGTCTAGGGTTTCGGCAGTGGTACGAGTAGAGGAAGGCGCGATGAGGGAGGAGTCGGCGGCGTCGGGTGACGGGGTGAGTGCGAGCGAGAGGAGGGCGGCGGTGTCCAACGGTCGACGGTGACGATGTGGGGGCCGGCGTGGCTATGTGGGGGAGTCCGGAGGATGGATTGGGGGGGGGCGACGAGATGCGACGACGGGCGGGATGGGACGACGGCAGGGGGGCGGTGGGTTGGGACGACGGGAGCGGCAGTCGAGGGCGGCGCTGGTCTAGGGTTTTGTCGGCGGCGGCGGGTGACTCTCCGGATTGGGGGGCGTCGAGGCGTCAGGTTTTTGTTTTCGTTCTGGAGGAGGCGGAGGAGCGTGCGCCGTTTTTCCGTCGCTCTCAACGTGTCGAGAGTCTTTTACCCTATTATCTGGGGGGCTTTTAGGCTGTGTTCAGATCCTAAGTTTGGATCCAAACTTCAGTTCTTTTCTATCACATCAATCTGTCATACACACATAACTTTTTAGTCATATCATCTCTAATTTCAACCAAAATCCAAACTTTGGATTCAACTAAACACAGCCTAGCAAATAACTATTTGCCACTTTTAGATTTAGCAAATAACTATTTGCCACCCCTATCTCAAAAACTATGTGTCACAAAAACTTTTTTGAGTTAGCTGTATGCCATGAGCCCAACTTTTGTTGACCCGTGTGCCATTTTGGATGGATGGAGACATAACAGAGGTGTTAGGGGCTGTGTAAAGACAGTTTTGCCCTAGTGTACAATAATGGGTTTAAACATAATAAAGATATGCATTGAAACATTATGTAAATTATGTTTGATGATAATTTAATATGTTTGTATTTGAAAAGCTAAGTATATTGGATATCATAAAACATAATAAAGATATACATTGAAACGATTATATTGGATGATAATTTAGCATGTTTGTATTTGAAAAGCTCTTAAATTATAAAAACTATAAAGATATAGCATGTTTGCATGATGTTTAAATGCGATAGTTGTTAGTGGATGATGAATGTGGCATATTGTTAATTAGTGGATGATGATGTGGCATCTTGTTAGTGGATGATGATGTGGTATCTTTGCATGTTAAGCTTAAGCAGTTAGTGGGGGATAACTTTATAGTAAGATAGGATTATGCTTTCAGCCCATAACTTCAGGCCCGTAGAGATCTCAATTGGAAACTGGCAGAATATCCGAGGATGGAGGGCCACCGGCTCAATTGAACAACCCCACCTGCGAGGTCTGGGAATACAGATGCCGGTTGCCTCCTCTTCTGCAACTCTGGTGACAGAATCGCTCCCCCGAAGCGAACTATTTCTCCGTTTCTTTCCTAAACTCTAGCTATGCATCTCGCCGTCGTCTCCCGCTCCGCACGCAAGCAGCGGGCGGCTGCTGCTCCGCGCCTCCGTCGTGTGGGGCTCGCGAGAGCCTGGACCATGGCGGAGGCCTCCGCCGACGTTGCTCGCCACCGGATTTGGCGTGGTCTACTTCTTCGGTTATTGGTTGGCTACTTGGCTTCACGTCTCTTCCACCCCAAACAAGAGCTTAATTGGGCCGATCTCAAGCCCTAGAAGGAACTTGCACTTCTCGACCAAAAAACCCAAACAAGGCCTAATTGGGTCAATTCCCCCTATATTCTCGTTTCGCACGGCTCAACCGCTCATCAAGCCCTAGATAGTGCTCTCTCTCTCTCTTCGCTCGATTCGCCGGTGATGGCGGTGCCGCCGGAGGCGACGAGGGCGCCGCCCCAGACTGAAGGACGGCGTCGAGGTCTGCGTATTTGACGAATCACCAGAGGTCTTCTCCAGAGCGGTGCACGCCATCTCGGAGCTCACAGCCGGGGAGCCCGAGCCGAACTTCCCTAACGCCGAAGTCGAGCGGCTCGCCTCTTCATTAACTTTCCTCGGGTGAGAAACTCCCTCCTTGCTCTGTCTAATCCGGTACCTAATCACCGCGGCAAAATTGGTAACTTTCTGTTGTTGGCCTATTTAGCTGGGTGGAGTGGACGAATTTGTGTTTAATAGTATCGTTTATCAGCAAAGCATTAATTTGTTAGTCATTGATGCAATTTCAGGGAGCTTTTAATGGGAAAACTTATGTGGCATATAAGCTCTCTTTAATTTATTCATTGCCTTATGTGCCACACGCGGTGGCAAATTTTATTGGAATTTGTTAATTTAGATCCCAAGACATCGCTGCTACACAAACAGGAAAAAAGCAGTTGTCACATGAATGCTTTGGTGCCGTTTCATTATTCCTGTTGTGGCTATTAGAATTCATTTGGCTTTTGCCACTGCAATTGACCATATTCTTACTTCCAGTATCCTTAGGTAACAATATTAGCTCAATGCACAATTTTGTTTTTCTATTAATTAGAACGATACATGGTTTTTTTTTCATGTCGTAAACAAAATGCAACTGCATTTTTAGTTGTTTTACTACTAATTCACTAAGTTTAAGTCACTTTTGTTCTGGTAGTTATATTTCCTTAATCTGTACTCATCTGTTGTTTGATGACTCTGATCGATGATCATTTTTGCACATTGTGACTTTCTAGCTTACCATTTGATGTTATGGTTTACGGTACAGAGGAGTAGCGAAACTTGATCTCCTTTATATAGAAGCCACTAAGTCAGTGAGCCCCACCTTTATTTGTGAAGACTACTTGTTAGCTGTTACTACTCTGTATTCAGGATTGACAGATTCAGTAACAACTTTAGTTATTAGCAACCTATAGTAGCATGCTATAACTAGTATTATTAACCTTGCTAGCTTTTATAGAGCAATTACACATACTGTTGTCTCTAGAAATACAGTGTTATTCTTGGATGATTTATGGAATGGATGATTCAGAAGTCAGAAGCTAAAAAAATACCCTCATTTATGCAATCATGCATTCAACATAAATAAATCAGTAAAGGCTATGTGCGCAAAACCTCTAGAAGATTCTTTCAAGTACGCCTTTATAACAGCTGAAGCATACAGTGAATTTCAGTTGTTACAAATGGAAATCTAGTTAGTTCTGCATATGCCAATGGGGAATTGGGGATTCTAGGAGCTACATTTGGGGAGCATAAAGATACACAGCTCAAAAGTTCTGTAAGGCTAATTTTGTTAGTTCTCCTCAAGACCATTTAAATTGTTATGGAAAACAAACTAACCAAGTGTGTCATGAAAATCAAAGTTTTCATATGGCTACTCTTTTATGATAGATTGAACACCAAAGATATGCTTGACAAAAAGAATTGTGCTTCAAAAGATGCTAACATCTCTTATGTTCTGCGCTCAACTAGTATAAGGGAGACCTTGATACATCTTTTTTCATGTGCCCTTTTAGTTGAAGGGACAAGAACTGGATTCAGATGGAATATTAATTTAAATTTGTTTCAAATGATTGTTCTACCAAGAATCGGCTTGAAAAGAAAAGGTTTCCTAAAGATTATGTGCATTGCATGTTGGCACATTTGGAAGCAGAGGAATGAATTTACCATAATATCAACCCATCGGTGGATCAATGGTTTCAAAACTTCAAAGCATATGTGTAGGATGAATGAGCCTTTAAGATCTATAGTCTTTGATTAGTTACATAACTTGTTAAAATTCCGTTTTGTAATTGTAACTAGACTCTATATCTATTTCTTATACTAGCAAAAGGGCACGTGCATTGCAACAGGAAACTATAATTACAATAAAAGTTAGATAATTCATGTTAATCTTTGTGATTCGATCCCTTTAAGAGAAATATTGTTATTATGGATCTTAACTTGTAAAATAGTAACGAGAAATTGTAACATAACCTTTAGATCATTTAGGAAAAAAACTCCCGCACTATTGAAATGAATAACATGGCATAACTTCTATTGTCCCTATGTTTTTACTCGCTCCATGTTGTTATTGTGCATTTGATTCGTCTAATGTGACCTTGCCTTGTCATGTGATCAAGAAGTTAAGAAAGTGAGAGTGGTTGGCTGACGGCCAAGTGTGGTGATGGCAGCAAGGATAGAGGGGGCGAGGCAGTGGCACGCCTAACTCTAACCAACGAGAGCAAGAGAAGAGCAGAGCCAAAATTAGACACTAACATGGTTAGCAAACTGGATCATGTGTGTCGTGTGTTGTAATTTGGTTTTGGAAACAAAAAAGATTGTAATTAGACCATAATATAGACATTGTGAAGGAACACGATCTTGATGGAACACTCGAACCCAATCAACTTAAATATATAATAAAAATTATTGTAGCCTACCTATCTCAAATGTTGACAAGTATAAGGCTGTAGCCAATCAATGTATGCACCAAAGTTGAAAGGAAAGAGCCATTGCCAAACTATATAAATTACTATGAAATTTACACTCACTATATTACAGTCTCCAGCTAATCAGAATCAATCAATTGGGAATACTGTCAGGCCAACGCCAAGCAGTTATAATTTATATAGGAATATAGAGTGCAATCCATTCTTTTGTACATTGAATGTAATCAAATTACATTCAAATTTTAATTTTACTGTGCATAAATTCACATGTTAATGCTGTATTTCTGGTTAATGCTCTAAATTCCTTAGAGCACCCGCAATGGTAAAGTAAGGTGCTCTCTATAAAACATGTACATCTCAGCAATAGATTAGATTAATAGTAAATCACCTCAATAGTATGTCTACATGGATATCTATAGCTCTCTCATCCATTGCCTCGTTTTTCTCTATAGACTATCTCTAAGTTAGTAGATAGTTTTACTCTCTCTCTTCATTTAATCTCTTCCAAGTAGGAAAATATGATGACATGGATCTCTTGTAGAGAGCATATAGATAACCATTACGGGTGCTCTTAGTATGTAGAGCCCCCACGACCTGTTGGCAGCTTGCGAATAGACTCACTAAAAATGCCAATTTTTTTTTTAATTCTATGCAGACACTGATGAGTTAGATCCAACGTCCCAGACATCTCCCGGCCGCACCCCCCCCCCCCCCACCACGCATCGCCTCCACCACCCCCATCACGCCGCTGTCGCCGTCGCCATCCCGCTGCTCGTCTCCGTTGCCGTCCCCGCCCCTCCGCCCCCGATCTACGCCTGGGCACCCGCCTCCGCGCCCCTAGATCACCGTCGGCCTGAGTCGCCGGGCTCGTCGTCGCCAAGCCGATCCCCTCCGCAGGGAGGTGCAGAAACCCTCCTCCCCTACTGGTCTTTTCCTTTTCCAGTTTGATTCTTGCAAGTTCTAGAGACTGATACAATCATGTAATTTGGAATTCAAAGTTATGTGCACTTAGAAATAATAATTTTGCTCATACTCACCAAATCCCTTTGATTCACTGGACACTCAAGTGCAATATTGAATCCATCAACATAACGGAATCAAATACTGGAGAGGATTGGAACAGATTACCCCCATCAAGTTGGTGAAATAAAGGAGCAATTAGGACGACCACTAAATCCGCTAATGGAACACATAATGAACAGAAATTCCTTAGAGCTTGGAGTAATATTAGCACTACAGTCACTATCTTTGAAAACGATCAGGGGAGCATTCATTACCTTGGCCCATGCTAACATCAGTTACTCCTCCACTTTGACTGGAACACCTCAACACATGTGTCATCATTAGTTTGAACCTGTGAACGATGAGTTTGCTATTCACTTCAGGGAAGTAAGCTTTAGTGGAAACCTTGGAGCTTATGATATCAATCTAAAAGACCATTGAGCTAAATATATGCAAATCTGGAGTTGATTTGGCAACCACAAAACCAACTGATATAAATCCTTGAGTCCATGTATGAAGAAACCACACTTCATTTTTGGTGAAGCCACAAATAAACCCTAAAAATGATCAAAGACATACAATACTGTGGTATTAGTACAATGCCAATTTACAAAAATTGAACGAATCATGCATCACAAGCACTGTTTACAGAATTTTGGCTCTGTTCATAGAGAACAGATCTTCAAAGCAAAATTCATCCTCTATTTCCAATTATTATTTTTTTGGGCTTTGATTCACTCATAGTAGAGAAATAAGAGACGCAATAGCACTGCCTGGGCATTATTTGAGAAGAATGAGAAACCTATATGTAAATTGTCCATCCTTTTTCTGTACTTATAGTAGCAAATCAATAGCTCAACTAATAATGTCATTGACCAATGGCAAAAAAAAAAGATCCTATAAGACTGATGTTTGAATAACCCAATTAATCAATTTTTCACCTATAATTTTGTAATTCCATCATAGCACAAATGAGAGAGCTATGAGGTCTAACAAGAAAGAAACATAAACCACATCGTTTCCTTTCTTTTTAGAGCAGCACAAATGAGAAAGAGCTATGAGGTCTAACATGAGCCTTCTATTCAAGTATTCCTTGTTGGAATATGTTGGTCTGAATTAAACTCCATGCACTACATTTATTCTACAGGAATTAGTATGCTGATAGTTTACATCAATCTCGCTGCATGTGCACTACAAGAGAATTATGCTATTGCCACAAAAATATTGCAACAAACTTTTATTCGTGGCCAGTGCATTATTCTATTGCCATGTCCGGTCGCCTTGTGGCAAGTAGTAAATTATATTACAACAATTTAGTATTGTTGTTATACTTTAGTTTTTTTTCATGGCAATTAGTGTATTTTCTCTAGCCACAATATATTACTGTTCCAGTAATTTTGGACTCTTTACAACATACCAAAATTGTTGCCACGACTTGGTTAAATTGTTGGAATAGTACTTTTTAGTAAAACAAATATTTTTTAAGTGATGTAAAATTTTGACGTAACTGATATGGTCTCAATTATTGTACCCCTTGGAGGGACTGAAATTTTTTTATGGCGCCTAAGCACAGGACGGTGGGAGTTGTTTCAGATAAATCAACGATCATTAATCTAACTAGAATGCCTCGTTTGGTCAATTTATTTGTTTCCTTTAGTGTGTGCATGGATTTAGAAATAAAATTCAAATGCCAGTGACAATAGTTAGTCTGAGCGGGAGCAATGACCTCGCCAGGCCGCATGCACGCACCACCACTTGCTGGAATCCTTGCCTCGGAGCCGTCGTCTCGCCGTGGTGCTAGGTACATGGCTGACGCTCGCTCTCGCCGACCCTGTGTGTGTGTGTGTGTGTGTGTGTGTGGATGAGTGTGTGTGTGTGGAGATCAGTGGGAGACCACGCAGATAGCCCAGAATTTGCTCTCAGGTTGGGGCAATTGGTATTCCATAGTTTTCTTCAGATTGTGGATCTCTTCCCCTCTTCTGCTCACCCGATCCCCTCGTGCCGCATGCGCACGAAGCCTTTGCGTGATTGGCGACGCCTCTCCTCCCTCCTTCCATCCTGGATTTTTCCCGTCTGTCTCCTCAGGCCTTTCAACCTTCAAATGTGCCACCGCATGGATTAGGCCATAAGCAATTTTCTTAGAAATGCACATGTCCTGTAAGAAAATGGAATGCTTTTAGTTAGAATGGTGACCCTTTGTCAATTTTAAGTCTTCATGTTCCACTTCAATTAGTTGGAATGAAAATTCCTTGTCATTCGAAGGCTTCAAGTCCCAATTTCAATTTATGGTTGTAAACTTGGAGTATTAGTTTATGGTGTATCAGCATTCAACAAAGTTATGTGCAGTTTGAAAAGAGGGCAATCGGTCCATAATTTGTCTTGCATATTATCTTCTCATTTGCTAGTTCAAGATAGCCTACTAACCACTTTGTAGGAAGGTCATCCTTTCACTAATTCCATTTTCCCTTTTACATGTGTCGAATTTTTATTAGGCTTCTCTGCAGCTAATACAGGAAAATTACTTTAGTTTCTACTCAGCATTCTTGTGTGATAATGGCGTTAGCAGCAATCTACAGCCTTTTCATCATTAACAAATCTGGCGGCCTTATATACTACAAGGTATTGTTTACTGTACTCCTGTTTCTCTTTGTTCTTTCAAAGCTGGAGTCTGAACACCTTGCACCTCTCATTTATCCAGGACTATGGCTCAGCAGGGAGGACGGACACCAATGACAGTCTACGCTTGGCAAGTCTTTGGCATTCCATGCATGCTATCTCCCAGCAGCTGTCCCCTACACCTGGCTGTGAAGGCATTGACCTTCTACAAGCCCACAACTTTGATCTCCATTGCTTCCAGTCCCTCACAGGTCTTTTATCATCCTCCTCTGTTGTAAATTTGCGTGAAAATCTGACCTGGATGCTTATAACTGCAAAGTTTTTAGTATTATTGGGTTGGAAGTCAATTATTACAGTTTGTCGTTTTTTCTATAAGTATGCATCCTATCTCTAATCTTTCACTAAGTTACTCTTTAGTTGTTCTGTTTTCTGAATGTTGTGGAGATAGTCGCATGAATTATAAGCACATAATCATGGGCTTCTATCTTGCGGTTGCAAGCATAGTCTGAGTGTGATTTACAGGCTTTGCATTTGCTGAAATAATGTTTTTGTACTTGTGGCTTGGCAGTTGGGTACTTGGGGCCTGTTCCTTGAAGTGGGCAGCATTCTCAGTTGTATGCGTTGTGAGCATGATCACTCTCACTCGTAGCTTGCTTGATGGACAAAATATATTAAACTAACAAACTAACAATAGCACACTCCTATAAATGGAAGTTTGGACGAGTTACATTGATATATGTGTTCAAGCCATGCCAAGACTTCAGTTCACGGGAAGTATAAATAATGATGAAACAAGTTTGGCCAAACTAATTAAATTTAGTGCTTGATTCTATTGGGTATTGTGTTTTCTAGTTTCTAGTCATTTTTCAGCAGCAAGATCCTAGAGTTCTGTCCTTCCAAAATTCTCGAAAACTTTGATACAAGGGAGTTAATGTGTGAGACAATAGTATTAATCTGATACTTCAATAATAAGTGTGGCTTATGGAGCCGGATTGCAATGTTTATTGAACTTAAGTGTGAATGTCTGACAGAAGTGAGATATTTCTTAATCTATACTAGGTGCAGATATATACAGCAAAAAAGACAATGAAAGCATTGGGATATGCTGTCCTGCTCAGTATATCTTTTTCTATGCAAAACAATTTAATTGGAATGTTAGAGAACATACTTTCTTGACTATATTGTGCCTTTTGATCTTTAAGTAGGCCCTGGTACATCTCTAGAGTTAGTTATCCAGTTATACTTTATTTGGTGACTGAAAGGAATGTTGCTAAATTGGTTCAATTGTAAACATAGTGACCCACTTCTGTTTCATGGGGCAGGTGTTTTTCCGAATTGTTGATTGTTAGACCAAAAAAAAATTCACTGTCCTTTTGTGGTTTGCACTTGCCTGCCGCTGATCTGTATGATTTTGCTTCTGTTTCATCAGGGACAAAGTTTTTTGCTGTATGCGAAACTGGTGCTCAAAATATCGAGACTCTACTGAAAGTCATATACGAGCTCTACACGGATTTTGTTCTGAAAAATCCATTCTACGAGATGGAGATGCCAATTCGTTGTGAGCTTTTTGATCTCAACCTGGCTCAGGTCATTCAGAAGGACCGCGTCACACTTCTGGGTCGATGAATCATTTAGAAAACATGACGCACCATGTCTTTGTATGTGGCTTATATGACATGTATGGTGTCAGTAGGGTACTTGGAATTCAGGCAAGTCATTACACTGCATCACAAAGTCCATATACAGTGTGCAGTCGATTCCTTCTAGTTCTGAAAATTACTTTATTCCTGAAGTATCATTTGTGCCATTTTGGACTTTATATGTTTCCAGTCGCACCAACCAATTCAGGAAGGTGCATCACACCCGTATTTGCATTTGCATCTGGCAATGAATTCTTATTGAAGAGAACATATGAACAATGGGCAATTTGTTTTGCACCAATCTCTATACTCAATATAACATCCTGAATACTACCGAAACTAATTCTTTAACTTTAAAATCGCTTGTGTGCTGCAATATTTTTTGTATGTGCGATTAAGGGTCGTATGGAAAATAATGATCAATGACATTACAAAAGCTAAGAAAATTAAAATGTAATATTGGAGCACTGTCTTCCTCTAATATTGGGTATAGAGGTTTAGGCCCCTTTGATTCAAAGAAAATTCATAAGAATTTTAGAGGATTTCATTCCTATAGGATTTTTTCCTATATAGTCCTTTGAATCAAAGGAATAGATCTTATAGAATCCTATAAAATTCCTATGGATTGGCTAATGCCATGCATGTTTTGGAGGAATTCTAACATGAGGTAAAACCTCTTGGAAACTTTCCTTTGAGTCTTTATCTCTCCTCTAATTCCTGTGTTTTTTCTGCGGTCCAATCAAACGACCAATCCTGTTTTTTCTGTATTTTGCAATCCTCTGTTTTACACTTTGAATCGTAGGAATGAGAAAACATAGGCATTCCTGCGATTCGGGGCCCTAACACCATTGAATTAGACTCCAAAGAGTGTAAACGACATTCAAGGGGTGGAACTGTTCTTGGGACATCACGTGGAGGCCATGATACCATGAAGATTGTTGACAGCATCCAGGATCGTGGTATAAATCAGGTAAAGGAAATGAATGCAATTTTATTACTTTTCGGACACTGTTTTAAGAATCAATTTACGGATAGTATGAAGATTCTTCTACCTAATCGAAACATCTTACAATCAGCGTTGATTACAAGTTTGTGCGTTGTCCAGGTTTATGTAATTGGTGGTGATGGCACTCAAAAGGGGCGCAGGAGTGATTTTTGAAGTAAGCACGATTATATATCATCTTGATGTGTTCAACCTGATCAAATTATAGTTTTTACTCCCAAGGGTTGGTAGTGTATTTCATTATAAATAAAATGGACTGAAAGGGTCAATTAGGTCTAGAGTTTTTTTTAGGGGGAGGGTCGAATAGGCTAATTAAAAAACTTAAGTAAACATGGAAGCAGGGATTTTCGGAATTTTCGTAAATGGTTTTCGGAATTTCTGAAAATAACAGAGCAGGCGTGAATCAAAGTAGATTCTAGATCTAACAGCCTACCACAGGAAAATGCTAGCACAAACAACAACTAGATTTATAGTGGCACAATCAAGCAAAGCTAGAGGAGAGGGAGAAAGTGATATCACCAAAGATGTTACACACGAAGTTATTCCTGGAGTTCGAATTCTTGAGAGAATTCTACTCTCTGTTGAGGGGCTCACAAAGAGCCGGCCTTAGCTAACCCTTTCTTCAAGAGGTTGCACAAAACACTTCTCTTTCGGAGGTGAGATCTAACCTGCACAAGCTTCTCCCAGCCAACCACATGTAAAATGGTGGCTCAAGAGCGACACCTAGCCGTTTAGGAGTCCTTAACCTCTAAGAGTAAAAAATGATGCAACAAATTCCCGGAGATGATGTAAGTGCTCACAAATCTTCACAAAGACAACAAGAAACACCCACACAAACTCGAATCCACACCTCACACACACACACAATCTGAATCAAACCCGAGTGGAAAGGGGAAACAAGAAAACAAGGCTCAAATGAATCTCAAGTGAAGCAAAGCCAAGGGCATGAAAATATCCAATCAGTCCAGCAGCCCTCTCAAGAGGAGAGAGTGGGCTATTTATAGCCATAGCTCCAGATCTGCCCGTTAGAGTACAATAATTGCATTTTTCGGAAAATTAATTTTGGAACTTTCAAAAATTTCCAAAACAGCAAAACAGGAAGCGAACGATGATTTTCGGAAATTCCGAAATTTTTTTTGGACAAATCCGAAAATATCTAGAACCAAAAACACCTTCAGTAGACTTTTGGAACTTTTGAAAATTGCTTTCGGATAAGTCCGAAAATTTCCAGAAGCATGTTTGACTTGCAGACATTTTCGAAAATTCCGAAAATGAGTTTCGGATGAATAGGTGATTTATTTGATCATCCATATATAAAATCCTCTTCTTCTTCTTTTTTTTTTCCAGAAATTTACATTTCTCAAGTAAATGAATTAGTGTGCTCATTGCAATCTAGGACTTATCTTCTCCTGCCAACAAACACTGGTTGCATGAAGAAAACAAATGGATGTACAGGCGCTGAAGCATACTGTTAATGCCAAATTTTGGTAAGCACCGAAGTCGTCATCGATATAGAGTTAGTATCGGCCTCTGGAATTGGCCGATGGAAATTATCGGTCACCAACAGTAGGATTTTTAGTGGATTCGATTAAGGAAATTAATCAATTAGAAGAAGCTTACTCAGAAGAGGTCGAGTTCAAGAAGGATGCGACATAACAATTCAAGACAGAGTAAGTTTCTTTTTTTACTTTTAGGAAAACTTGTTTAGAGTCTGATCATGACTTATATATTTTACTTTATCTTTAGGAAAGTATGTGTCATGTCCAATAAGGACTAGTATCTACCCATGGGTATAAATATTTATACGCAGGTTCATTGTAATCTATCTCTCGATCAATACAAATTTCAGCGCATCGCCACCCTCTTTCCTAAGGTTTTATCACCGGCAGAACTTGGCACCTCGACGCGGTTCTACATTGCTTTGATCTCCGGCAAAGGGGCAAGCCCTAACTTCCGCTGGCTCTGGCAATTGTATCTGCTATATTGGCATTGTTCAAGGCTGCATCGTTTCGATATCTTGGATTGCTCTTGTTCAGTTGGTATATTTGTCTACCTGATATTTCAATTCTATCTTTAATTGTATTGTGTTTAGAAACACATCGGTTTAGTTGAGATTGTCTCGGTTAGGTCCAATCTTTTATCTTAGTCGATATATCTCTACAATCACAATGCTATTTTAAATGGATTAGTTATATCCATCACGCTGAGCATAGATCTATCGGCTTACCTACACCCATGAAATCAATCAAAGCCTGCCATTTTGCAGTGGGCATGGCTAGCAAAGGCCTGAGGCTAGCAAAAAACAAAATTTATTTTTTTTGTGGGTTATACTCATCGGTGACGGGCTTTACCTTAAAGTCCGTTTGAGTTATAGTCATCCGTGAAGGGCATAAGTTTAGGCCCGATTGAGATTAGAGTCATCCGTGACGGGCGATAGTTTAGGCCCGATTGAGATTAGAGTCATCCGTGACGGGTTATAGTCTACGGCCGATTGAGGTTAGAGTCATTCATGACATTCTTTAGTCTAGGCCCGATTGAAATTAGTAGTCATCGGTGATGGGCGCTAGTTGGGGCCCAATTGAGATAGGTCATCCGTGACGGGCTCTAGTTTGACTAGTCGTCTGGGTCAAAGCTATCGGTGACGGGCTTTACTTGGGGCCCGATTGAGATAACTTCATTCGTAATGCTCGTATGCCCGATTGAGATAACTTCTCACATCAGTGACTTCTATGCTGTGACGGATGCCATACCTGTCACAGATGGGGTTGCTGCCTGATTGAGATGTGGGTGACTGTTGTAGTGTATCTAAGTGTCAAAATCTATATCTAATATATAGCCGAATTTTCAAAACCTATTGACATCGGCTAGCATCGCTACATTAGCTTGTTGGCCGATTAGCTCTTTGATCATTAGTTTATCTATCTTGTTTCATTTGCAGGATCAAACTGACTGCCACGTCTGAACCTGATAATTTAGGACCTGCACTGGACCTGCACTCGTCGTAACTGGTAGAGAGGAGGCCCAACAACGAGTTTTTGACAGGGATGCAGAGGCGGAGATAGGGGCAATGGTGGCTGACGATGCCGGTGAAAATGTGGGCAATGGTGTTGGCGGACGATGGTGGTGTGGAGGCCTGAAGCCGGTGGCGCGTGTGGCCAACCTCTGCGATCTCCCGCCACATTTCATCGTTCCTCATCGTATGCATCAGTAAGGTCCTGATATGGAGCTCCTGAAATTTTAAGGGTAAAGGTTAGGGTTGAGGGTTCACACTATTTCCTTCAGTGAATAAAATCAACACTATACCATTGTTAGAATCTTAATGGCTGGCTCCCTTCTATGTGCATTGTATGCCTCTCCACAAGAAAAGTAAGACGAGAACAGGAAAGACTGAGCTACTGCTACCGCTGTCACTATATCTTGCCGCCATCGTTGCCGTCAAGCAATCACTCTTCCCCCTGGTCCTACACCCTCTGTTGGCAACTTTTTGTGACAAGTCGACAAGCACGATCGCAACACCTAAACGCCTTACGGTGATATAGAGTCGCCAACCACCTCGATCTAGCCAAAGGGCCAAATCAAGATGGGTTTTGTAGAAAAACAGCTAAACCGGCTAGCAGAGCCGATTTAGAGATCAAAATCAGCCTCTAGGCCGATTTAGATCGATATGAGGATAACTACCCATCTCGTGGGCAAAACGGAAGGTTTTCAGGACAAACCTACAAAGAGGTGTCGCACTCTCGCAGCGGCGGCGGACGGTTTATGGCGCAAACCGACAAAGATGGACTAAAACTAGGGTAAAATAGAAAACGTAGTAAAATAACGATTCAAAGTAAATTGTATTGGGGGGTTTTACAATGAACTGGCCTTGTCCCTTAAATAGGGGTTGGTCTTGCCCTCTACAGGCCCTTCTCCACGCCAAACTCGGGATAGAAACCAAAGGAAACACGAAACATGCCTTCCCGAGCAAGGAGACCCGAGACCCGACGAAAACAGACTCGGACTCGGACCCTGCCGGTCTGACCGCCCACATACCGGCGGTCAGACCGGCCCTACTAGCTGGTCAGACCGCCCACACACCTGTGGTCTGACCGGCCATGTGAAGGAAACCCGTCACTTTCCAAACATTGGCAATTTTCTCCTATTTCGTCCTTAGGTGCCAAATTTGGGTGTAAACACATGCCCCCCTGCCTTTTTGGTGAACATACGTGAACCTAAAAGCATAGAACATTTTATCTCAGGGCGATAATCCAATTACCGGCCATAGGACTTCCTAAGCATCTTGCCAAATGCTCGAAGTA